GGGGTCGCTGGCAGAGGGCCTTGGGCCGGAGGTTATGGGGGGCTCTGGAAGGGGAGAAGGGTGGATCTGCCCCCCGCTCCTCTGGATCTCTCCCCAGTCCCCTGGAGCTCTCAGGACCACCTTGGAGCTGCTCCCGGCTCCCTGGATCCATCCCTCCCCGTCTGGATCCCTCCCTGGACCCACATCAGCCCCTCTGGATCCATCCCTGGCCCCTCCTGAATCTGCCCCCATTCCCTCTCTGGACCCACTCCGCCTCCTTGGATCCACTCCAGCTCCCCCCCAAATCTGCCCTAATCCCCTGGATCTGCCCTCCGGACTCACCCCCAGCCCCCTACTCGCTGTGCTCCCCCTCAGACCGTACCGGCGGGAGCGGAGCCTGGCTCTGCGGAACAGCAGCTCGGCCCTGTACAACAACCTGGCCGTGCTGTGCCCTCCCGCCCGGCCCCCGGCCTTCGGAGCCGTGCACGGCACCATCCTCAGCCTGCTGGGCAGCGAGGGGCCCCCCCGGCAGCTGCAGGCTCGGGGAGGGGGCTCGGCCCTCAGCACCCCCCTACTTACACAGGTGAGCACAGGGAAAGCTTTGGCTGGGTGTTCCTGGCACCAGGCAGGGGGTGGGACATGGCTTTGGCACCAAAATGGGGCAGGGGGACACCAGGATCCTGCAATGGCAGATTGTGGGGAGAGGGAAGGACCCCCTTGAGGGGTCTGTGGAACTCGGGGAGAGTCCCCAAGGCCAGCAGGGCCCACCTGTGGGAACGTCAAACACACCTGAGGCGGGGGGACTTCCCACCAGGAGAGAGACCAGGGGGCCCTGCGCCAGGAGATGGAGTTAGGGGGGGATCCAGGAGATTTGGGGGCTCCTATTCTAGGTGTAGGAGTTTAGGGGGCTCCAAAAGGAGGATTTGGGAGGCTTCAGGAGGGGATTTTGGGGGGGCTCCAGGAGAAGAACTACAGGAGGTGAGGTTGGAGGGAGGTTTTGGGGGTCCTGCAGTGTCCCCCACTCCCACCCCGCTCTGTCCCTCCCAGGCCGCGTGGTGCGTGCTCCCGGCGCGGGTGCTGCTGGTGCTCACATCCCAGCGTGGGGTCCAGGTGAGGCCTGGGGCGGTTGAGGGGTCCTGGGGGTCCCTCTGTCACCCCCAGAGTGTCCCACCTTGTCCCTCCATGCCAGATGTACGACTCTGATGGCTCCACCATGGTGTTCTGGCATGCGCTGGACGTCCCGGAGCACTCGGCAGGTGAATGAATCCCTCAGACAGTCCCAAATCCCCCAGCTCTGCCCAGACCACCGGTGTCCATGTCCCCAAGTGCCACATCCACAGAGCCAGTAAACCCCCCCACCAGGGATGAGGGCTCCAACCCTGCCAGGGTGGAAATTCCAGCCCTTTCCAGGAAAGAATTTTCCCAATATCCAACCTAAACATCCCCTGGTACAGCTTGGTTCCTTCTCCTCCTGTCCCCTAATCCCCGGCTGTCCCCTCCTGTCAGGGAGTTGTGCAGAGCCACAGGGTCCCCCCGATCCCCCTTTTTTCCAGGCTGAGCCCCTTTCCAGCTCCCTCAGCCACTCCTGGGGCTCCAGACCCTTCCCCAGTTCCGTTCCCTGGGCGCCACCACCTCAGTCTCTTGTTGTGACAGGTCCAAACCTGTGCCAGGATTGGGGTGTGACCCCCAATTCCTGTCACAGCGATCAGTCCCTGCCCATGAGTGACACAAACCTGTTCCCTTCCAGCCCATTCCATGTTCGCCCGAGGCATTGCCGCAGCCGGTGGCCACTTTGTCTGCGTGGGTGAGCCTGGGGTGTGGAGAGGGTGGTGGCCCTGGGGTGGCCCAGCCCTGCTGACCTCCTGACCCCACAGGGACATCCTCTGGGGCCGTGCTGGTGTTTGACATCCCCCCAAAAGGGACCAACGTGACGCTGAACGAGGTCCTGGAGCAGCACCGGGATCCCATCACCGACATTGCGGCCGAGCAGGGCCAGGCCCCGGTATGGAGGGAGGGTGGGAGACCCTAAATCTCATCAGTCCCTCTCCCTGCCTTTCCTGCTATCCCAGCTGGCTCCAGTGTCCAATCTGGCCTTGGACACTTCCAGAGATCCAGGAGCAGCCACAGCTTCTCTGGGCAACCTGTGCCAGGGCCTCCCCACTGTCAGAGGGAAGGATTTCTTCCCAAAATCCCCCCCCCCCCAGTCTCCTATTCTTCAGTGAGAAGCCATTCCCTGTGTCCTGTCACTCCATCCCTTGTCCCAAGTTCCTCCCGTCTCTCCTGGAGCCTCCTTAGGCACTGGAAGCTCACAGGGCACATCCCTGCACACTCACCAGCCGTTTCCTCCCACTCAGCACTTTCCCTGATGAGTCACTGAACTTTCCTTGCTCTGGGATCCCCAAGGAATTCATCCCCCAGAATCTATTCCTGAGCTGCTGTGTCACCGTGGGGACACGGAGCTGTTGTGTCACCTCCCACTGCCGCCTGTCCCCTCACACACCCCCGTGGACTTTGCTCCACAAGTGCCGAGGGTTCCCAGGGCTGCTCTGGGACATTCCCAGGGCTGGGAGGAGCCGGGAATCCTCACGGAGGGAGGGGTGCCCTGATTCTTCCTCGAAATCCACCCTCGGCGTGGCAGCGTGGGCAAAGACGGACGAGTTCCAACGGAGCCGCCCGTGGGCGCTCCCGGCCCCGCTCCGGCCGGGATCTGTCAGCACTTCAGGAGCTGTTTCAGCTTGTCCTGGTGCCCGTGGGGCAGCCCCGGAGCCAGGGCAGTGTCATCCCAGAGCTGGGGACAGTGCCCGGTGCTCCTGAGCCATCTCTCCCCACAGGATGGGGCTGGGGACCTGGTGACAGCCGATGACTCCGGGACCCTCTGCCTCTGGAGCACCGGGGAGGAGTTCACCCTGCTCGGGCAGATCCCGGGATCTGGGTGAGCTCCGGGGATCCCGCAGGGTGTTGGACACGAGGGAGGGACACCCTAGAGGTGGTGACATGTGGCCCTGTGTCCTGTGTCCAGCTCCACCTGCTCCTCGGTGACGCTGTGGAACGGGATCGTGGCCGCGGGCTACGGGAACGGGCAGATCCGGCTGTGGGAAGCGGGATCGGGGCGGATCTGTGCCCAGGTGAACGCCCACGCCCGCTGGATCTACGCCCTCGACCTGGCACCGCTCACGGGCAAGGTACGGAGGGGACAGGGGGTCCTACCTGGTGTCACACCTGGAATCACACCTTGTATCACTCTCAGCATCCCACCCTGACATCCTGCCCAATATCCCAACCTGCATCCCACCCTGACATCCTACCTGGCGTTCCAACCTGAAATCCCAGCCTGGCGTCCCACCCCAGTGTCCCATCCTGCCCCATGGCACTGCCACCTCCGTGGTGTCCCCACGGTCCCTCCACTCCCGCCACAGCTGCTGTCAGGTGCAGAGGATTCCTTTGTCCACGTCTGGAAGCTCAGCAGGAACCCGGACACTGATGACATCGAGGTGAGTCCAGGCCTGGGATACAGATATGGGACTTGGAGCCATGGCTGCTCCATGGGGACCTGGGGCAGGGACGTGGCCCTCGGAGCTGTGGCTGCCATGGAAAGCTTGGAATTCCATCTGGATCCGCTCCCACCACAGATCCAGCACTGCCACGCCGAGTGCGTGACGGACACGCAGGTTTGTGGCGCCCGGTTCTGTGACCCGGCCGGGGACACCTTCGCTGTCACCGGCTACGACCTGAGCGAGATCCTCTGCTACGGCCCAGCCTGAGCTGGGAATGCCGGGAATATCGGGAATGCCGGGAATATCGGGAACACCAGGACGCTCCAACAGCGTGGCCGTGGGTGAGGGGTGAGCACAGACCCCGCTCCAGCTCCGTGGGGATGTGTTCGGCCAGGATCCCCCCCCTGCCCGAAGCCCTCCTGAGATCTGGGAGCTGCTCCGGCTCCACCACCCCGAGGGGATCCCCGGGATCCTCCCATGGCTTCGGGATCCTCCCATGGTCTCTCGCCCTTCCCGGAGGGTGGCGTGGCTGGGAACAGACCCGGCTCAGACGGGAGGATCCCGGGAAACCTGTGTTACCTGCTGCTCCGGCCGGGAGAGCCCCGAGCCCAGCCCAGCGTCCCAGGGTGCAGCACCCGCCGGCCATGGGTGCTGCGGAGGGAAAAAAGGGGGGAAGGAGGCCAGGGAGACGTGGAGGACCTGGGGGATCCCGCATCCCAACCCCCCACAGCATCCCAAATCCCCAGGGGATGCTGCAGTCCCATGGCTGCTGGCCAGATGTTTGAGGCCCCAGCTGTGCTCTGGGGCAGGAAACAGCAGCAGCAGCTGCAGCAGGACCCCAGGGACCTTCCCAGGTCTCCTCCAGACCCCCGACCATTCTTGACCCGCCCCCTTGGGAGCTGAGGTGACCCCAGGCTCTGCTCCCAAGGCCCTGCAAGGCTGGGAGGGGGGAATGGGGGGCCCAGCCTGGGATAGGAACCCCCCAGCCCCTCCTGCCATGCCAGGGATCTGCCCCATCCATAAATGACCCCCCTCACCCTGTCTGTCTCACTCGTGTCCTCCCCCCAATGTGTGGGTTCTGTTCCCTACCCCCATGTGCTCTGTACCCCCCCACAATAAATTCACCCCAGTGAAGCCCCCCCGTGTCACTCCTTCCTGAGGAGAAAGGCTCGCATGTTGGGGGGGGACAGCAGAGTTTGGGGGAGACCCAGCAGAGTCAGGCTCTGTTACAAAAAGCTTTATTAAAGGTTAAAACAGCTGCTGCTGAGGTGGGGGGGGGGCCCCGCTCCGGGCCGGGTGGGCTCCCGAGGCCGGGGGAGGGCCGCTGTGCTCCTGGGGTAAAAAAGTGTAAAAACGGTTGTGCAGTTCAGCCCGGGGGCCGGGACAGTGCCCCCCGCCCACTCCGGGTTGGGGACACAGCCTGGGGACAGTGACAATGCCACACCCCCGGGACAGGGACAATGATTCCCCCCGGGACACAGCCCGGGGCCGGGGGGCCCGTCCAAGGCACAGAGATGAGCCGGGGGCTCTCGCAGCCACACAAGCACCCAGGGACCCCTCCCCACGCCCACCCCCCACCCACCCCGCCCTGCTCACAGCTTGGCTCCCCCTGCCCTACGGCAGGAGGGAGAAAATACAGCACCAAAGAGCCCTACGGGGGTGGGGACCCCCCAGAAAAGAAAGAGGGAGTGGCAGAGCCCCCGCTCCCTGCGCACCCCCAGCCCCAAATACTGCTCGGTCAGAGGTAGCACCAGCGTTGGCCGGGGCGGGGGGGCCCTGCCGGGGGGGAGGGGGCTCAGCACAGCCCCACCCCCACCGGGGAAAGGCACGGTGGGACCGGAGGGGGGCTGTGACCCCGCAGAGCCTGTAAACAGCCAGGGTGGGGGGGTAAACAAGCCCTTGGAGGACCCCCACCCTGGCCAAGCCCCCTGGCTCAGTGTTGGGGGGGATCCCAGGACTGAGAGCCACAGCCCAGGGTGGGCGTCCCAGGGGTCCAACCCCTCTATTCAGTGTGGGATCCCTGGAGCCAAGGGTGGGGGTCCTGAGCACGAGCCCCTCAGCCCAGCACAGGGACCCCCAGCCTGGCATGGGAACCCTGGGCCCAAGCCCCCCACCCCACACAGGGACCTTCAGCCCAGCCCAGCCCCTAGCCCTTTATAAAAGCCCCAGGCCCAAGCCCCTCACTCCACACAGGGACCCCCAGCCCAGCTGAGCCCCCCAGTCAAGTGTGGGGGTCCCAGGCCTGAGACCCCTGCTCAGCAGAGAGACCCTCCAACCCAGCACAAGGACCCCCAGCCCAGCCAAAACTCCCCAGCCCCAATCCCCCCACTCACCACAGGGACCCCCCAGTCCAGCTGAGCCTCCCAGCCCTGCGTGGGGATCCCGGGGTTAAACCCCCTGCTCAGCACAGGGGCCCCCAGCCCTGCCGAGCCCCCCAGCCCCATTCAGGGGTCCCCTCCCCGAGCCCCCCGCTCAGGACACGGGGGGCGAGGGCCGCCAGAAGCACCACTTGCTGCGGGGGTGCTGCTTGCGCTGCAGCTGCTCCTCGCGCTCCCGCTCCTTCTTGGAGCGCAGGTACAGATCCTCCTCCTTCAGGTACCACACCGGGGGCCAGCGGTGCCGCTCAAAGTGCGCCTGGTTCTCTGCGGGGACATCCCGGGGTTCAGGGCACGGCGGGGATCCCCTCCCTGTGCCCCCCACGCCGTGCCCACCCCGTACCTGGGGACATGAACTTCATCTCGCGGGGGAAGCGGCGGCACACGCGGTTGTAGTTGGTGCAGATGTAGTGCAGGCACCACGCAGCCAGTTGACGGGCGTTGTGGAACTGGGGGGAGAGGAGGGGATTTGAGGGGGTCACCCCATCACCTAGGAGTCTCTGTGCGCCCCCCCCCGGGGGTCTCCGTGCCCTCCAGCCCCCCTTACCTGCGTCATCTCCAGGTAGATGATGACCTGCTCATCGATCTCCACGCGCTGCATGAAGGCTCGGAGCAGCTCGTCCACGGCGTATTGCTCTGGGAGAGGGGGGGAAATGGGGGGGTCAGGAGGGGGTCACACACCGGGGACGTGTCCCCCGGGGCCAGCCGGGCCCCCCCCGCGCTTACATAAGGACAATGAATGACACACGGGGACGATCGATCCGTCCCCGCGGCACCAGCAGGGTATTGGCAGGTGACGTCAGGGGACACGGGAAGGGGGGGGTGCGGGGGGATACCGGAGTGCGGAGGGCGAGGGTCTCACCGGTGAGCGCCTGCAGCCGCGGCAGGCACAGCCGGTCCGTGAGGATGAGCAGCTCCATGGCGTCCAGGTCGGGCGTGGGGGTGAAGACCCCGGTGTAGAGGAAGTCGAGGACGGCGCGGAGGCAGGCGCAGTTGGTGCCAGGCAGGGACACCTGTGGGATTGAGGGGTTTGGGGGGAGCTCAGAGCCACCCCGAAAGGAAAGGGGGACCCTCCTGGCATTGCTTAAGCTGGCACAGTACCCCCAGCCTTGGAATAGCCTCCACAACCCAGCACAGCCCTCCCGACCTTCAGCTTCCCTGATTTCTCCTCCGCGAGAGGGAAGCGGGACAGGGGGTCCCTGGGACAGGGGGTCTGAGCAGCTCCCTGACCCCATCAAAGATGCCCACCCTGCCCCGCAGAGCCACAGGTCCCCTGCTGGCCCCCACCTCGTCGGCGTAGCTCTCACGGAAGCCCCCCCGGAACATGGCCCTCATCCAGTCACAGCCAGCGATGAGCAGTGGTTTGTGCGCCGGCACCGCCCCGTCATCCACACGGAACACCACGTCTGGGGACAGGGGACAGCTCAGAGGGGGACAGGCACCCCTCAGATATTCCTCATGCCAGGGTCAGTCACCCCTCCGACACTGCAGACCAGGGACAGCCAACCCTTGACCACCACTGTCATGGGGACAAGAATCCCTTGGACACCCCTTCCATGGGGACAGCCACCCCTCAGACACCACTGCTTTGGGGACAAGCACCCCTTGGCCACCACAGCCCAGAGTTGCCACTTCACCCCAGCAGCATGGGACAGAGGCTCCAGGACTCCAGACTCCAAAGATCTCAGAGGTGGGAGGGGATCAGGGTGACCATAGTGATCTCACTGGCACCATGAGAAGGGGACACCATCTGGAGGGGACAGTGGTGACCCTCGTGTCCCCACAGCCCCCCATACCTGCGAAAACACCCTTGGCCAGGCACTCCTTGACGCGGTTGGCACGGCGCACGTGGAAGGCCTTGGTGATCTCCTGGTTCATGAAGCTCTCCTGGTTGAGCTCGTTGGCCACCATCATGCGCAGGTCAAACACCTCCAGCAGCTCTGCCACGGCACCCACCTGGCGCAGGTCACCGTGGGGCCGCTCCAGCTTCCCCGTGTACAAATATTCCAGCACGGCACGGAGCGGCTCCGGCCGCACACCCCGGTCCATGGCCACCACCGCCATCCTCCGCTCCCGCCCCGCCACCGGGTCGGCCACCAACTCCCAGCGCAGGCTCAGGAAGCCACGGCCCCACGATGACAGGTCACGGGTCCCCTCGTCCCCTTCGCTGAGGGTCTCGGGTGGCCCCTCCAGCGTGAAGAGGTCGTAGAAGCGGGAGCAGGCGGTGGCCAGGTAGACGCGGTGGGCGAAGACGCGGTGGCCGTCCTGCAGCTGGAAGACGACATCGGCGCAGAGCGGGGCTTGGAACAACGCGGCCGGACCCCCCCCCAGGCCGGGGGGAGCATCAGGCACCTGGATGAGGGGTGGGGGAGGCTTGGGGGGCAGGAAGGGCGCCTGCAGCAGCGGGCGCTGCATCTTGCGCAAGTGGGACTTCCAGAACTGCAGGTGGCGGCGGGACACGAGCGCGGCGCGGATGGCGTTGTCAAACACGTCCTTGACCCCAAACTGAGCCACCACGCTGGTCTCGTAGTACGGCACCCCCAGCTCCTGGGCCACCTCGTGCCCCCGCTCCGGTGGCAGGATGTCCGAGGGTTTGATGGGCCTGGGGGGACATGGACAGGGCAGGGGGCTAAGGAGGGTGTCCAGGGCAGCCACTCCTCATGCCAAGGATGGTGGGAGGGCTCACCCCCATCCCAGGGGATGCTGGGAGAGTGGCTCCTCCTTATTGTGGGGTGCCAGGGAGGCCTGGAGGGCTGAGCAGGACAGAGGTTCAGAAGACCCTGACCCACAGGGGGACCCCATCCCGCAGGGTCAGGGGGACATGAGATGACACACTCTAACCTGGTGGTAGCAATATCAGGAAGCAGAGGGAGGGGTCCCCATTTTAATGGGACTGGGGTGGTCCTGGTGATGACACACTGGGGTGTCCCTGTCCCCGTGGGGCCAGGGTGTGACACTTTGGGGGCTCACTTGGCCAGCGGCCGGCGCGCACGGTTGACGGCGTCCAGGTCGGCGTAGCGCAGGTCCAGCTGGCAGCCCACCAGCACGATGGGGGTGCGGGGGCAGAAGTGCTTGATCTCGGGGTACCACATGGTCTTCACGTGCCGCAGCGAGTTGGGGTTCGCCAGCGAGAAGCAGAGCACCACCACGTCCGACCTGGGGGGAGGAGCAGGAACGGGAGGGCAGCGCTGCCCCGGTGCCACCCGCTTGTGACTCGGCGTCCCCAAACACGCCCTGCTCAGGCGGCACCCGGGTCCCAGCCCCGCCTCAGGGCACCGGTACCAGCCTGGGACCCCACAAGAGCCGCAGGACCCCTTGAGAGCCCCACAGCCATGAGAATCCCCGGCAGCCACACGACCCCCTGGGAACTCCATGACCTCCGGGAGCCCCATGACAGGGGCAGCGACAGGGGCAGGGGGGCAGCAGGGACCCGAGGGGACTTGGCTTCGGGTCACCACCGTCGGCCAAGTCACAGGCTGCCCCAGCTCGGGTCGGCACCGTGATGGTCCCAGCCCCTGAGCACCCACGGAGGGTGGCTGGGTGGGTGCCAGCCCCCAGCACCGGGGACAGACCACGCCCGCTGTCCCCGGTTCTGCCCCCGCGCCCAGTGGGGCGGCCACTGCCAGCCCAGCCCTGGCTTAGGGAGTGTAAGGCTCCGGGGGGGGGACACGGGGGCGATGCCAAGGGACATGGTGGGGTGCCAGCGGACACGGGGGGGGTTCCAGTAGCCCCAAGTCCCCGGAGCAGCCGCGTGGCCCCGGGCCCGGGTTGTTTTTAGTCTGTGCCGGGACGGGACGTGACCGGGAGGCGCCGCTGGAGCCGGGCCCGTGTCCCAGACCAAGATAGCCGCCACCGGCCCCCCCGAGGCCTCCGGACAGTCCTGGGGCCACCGCGGGCCATGGGGACCCAGCCCCCCTAGCCCCCCCAGTCCCTCCCCCGTGGGGGGTTCCCCACCCGCGGGGCCCCGCCGTGCCGCGGGGAGATTAGAGATGCAGCGGGGCTGGCGCGGGCGGCGGTGATAAGAGCCCGGACGTGCCGTTGGCCACGAGGACCGGCTGTTTACAACCGGGGGGCCACGGGAGGTCTGGGGGGGGCCCTCCTGCGGCCAGGCGAGCGCTCTCGGGAAGGATTCCTGCACCACAACAGCCCTCCCCCCTCTCCGGAGCCACAGCTCTGGAGGGGCCGTGAGCAGCCGGGTCCCTGCTCGGGGCGGGGGCTTCGGGGGGCACAGTGTGTGGGGTCAGGGTGACCCCAAAGCTGTCCACGGAGGGGGATGGGGGCAGTCCCGCCCCTCCCCGAGGGTTTGGGGTGCCAGAGCTGCTCCCTGGACGCTGGCAGGAGCCCAAGGAGCTGCTTTGGCTCTGTGCATCCCGGGATGGGCAGGGTTTGCGGTGGGGGTGCTGGTGGTGGGGGTTGGGCTGCCGGTGACAGGCATTGGGGTGGCAGTGGGGGTCTCGGGAGTGCCGGTGGCGGGAGTCAGGGTGCTGGTGGTAGGGGGTGGGGTTCCGGTGGCGGGTCGCGGTCCCACCTGCCATAGGCGAAGCGCCGATCCTTGTGATGGTCCCCGAAGGTGTCCCAGAGGCGCAGGGAGACGCTGACCTCGTCCACCACATCGCGGGAGCGCTCCAGCACCTGTCGGCACCGGGAACGGTACCATCATCGACCGCCCTGCCTGGAAACACCAGCACCACCCCAGTGTGCCCCCGCTACCCCCTCCCGGTTCCCCCTTCGATATCCCTTGTGGTACCGGGTGCTCCCGAGTGCTCGGTACCCCCTGTTGTTCCCCCCCACTCCCAGTGCCCCTCAGTGGCCGGTGATGCCCGGTGCCCGATGCTCTCCGGTAACGCCCCTCTCGCTGTTCCTCCGCTCGGTGTCCGGCCGTGCCCGGCGGTGTACCTCGCCCTCACCTCCTGGCAGACGCGGTACTGGTCGATGGCCCACACGGTGGGCACGTGTGTGGCCAGCAGCCGGTACTGGCTCAGCGTGGCGTTGCAGGCGCGGGCGCAGATCAGCCGCGTCTTGCCCACCGCGTTGTCGCCCACCACGACGCACTTGATGGTCTCGACATTGGGGCGCTCGTAGTCCACGTCGGGGTCCATGGGGGCGCGGGGGGCCCCGAGCAGCGGAGCGGCCCCGCTCAGCGCCCCCCGCCCGATCCCGGCCCG